CCCTCCCTCCCTCCCTCCCTCCCTTCCTCTCTTCCTTTCTTCTTCCTTCCTTCCTAGTTTTCTTTTTTTTTTTTTCTGTAGATGATCTCAGCCCATGGAATAGCACTATCCACATTCATGTGGGTCTTCCATATTCAATTAAATCTGGCAATGTTCTCATAAACATGCACAGAGATGTAGAACAAGACTTGACAATTCTAAATTTTGTCAGTGTAACATAATACATGGTGAGATGTAAAGGAACATATACTCACCACAGATGAGAAAATGATGACAGACAAAAGTAACAATACTATAAAAGTCCAACTTGGTGAACCAATGAGTCTATTAGGATTACTTAAAGGAATATGAATGAGTGAAGGGTTACTTATAGGATCATGCATGATTCAAGGGCAACTGTATTAATAAAACCACTCTACCATGGATGATGATCCAGGAAAACTGGAAGGACTTGCAGATAGATGAGCAAATAGGAGAGTTTTCACTCCTCAGCAGTTCTTACTGCTTATATAACCTTGAAGAGGTACAACCCCGTGAACCTTAAGAGTTTTAGACACTTCCCTAGACTTTTGGATCCTTGATTTACTGGGTCTTAATGAGACTCTTGTTAGAACGTCCTGATTCTTAAGTAGACTTCTTGTGGTGGTTTGAATAAGAATAGCTCACACAGGGACATACATTTGAATGTTTAGTCATCAGGGAGCAGTAATACTTGGGAGAGATTAAGAGATGTGTCCTTGTTGGGGTAGGTGTGGCCCTTTTGGAGAAAGTGTGTGATGGGGATGGGCTTTGAGATTTCAAGAGCTCAAGCCAGTCTCAGTAACTCTCTTCTTGCTGCCTGTGGATCCAGATGTAGAACTCTCAGCCACTTCTGCAGTACTATGTCTGCCTAAATGCCATCATGCATTCTTGCCATGATGATAATGGACTAAAACATCTGAAACTGCAAGCAAGCCCCAATTAAATGTTTTCCTTTATAAGAGTTGTCATGGCCATGATGTCTCTACACAGCAATAAAAAACTAAGACCACCCTGTAAGATGGAATGTTGAAACATGTTGAATCGACAGAGACAGAGACAGACAGAGACAGAGACAGACAGAGACAGAGACAGAGAGACAGAAACAGAGAGAGACAGAGAGAGAGAGCTCAAAGACAAACCCCAGTGACAGACTTATTCCACCAAAGCTATACCTTCTAATCCTCCTCAAAGAGTTCTACCAAATACAGAATAAGTATATATGAGCCTATGGGGAGCCTCATTCAAGCCACCAGAGTCAGATTGCTGATATTTTATAGTGTAGCTTCTCACATTCTTAGAAGACACAATCTTACAACAAGCTTTCTGTTCCGGTTTTTGAAAGTTTTCTGCCCTACCTTCTACAACAATCCCTAAGGCTTAGGTTCAGGAAGTATGTAATTAGTTGGAACAGGGTTCCACAACTGTGCATTTTGATTGATTGTGGGTTTCTTTTGTAATAACCTTTGTTTTAAACAGAAGTTTTCTTTTTGAGGAAGGAAGACTACACTTATCTGTGGGTATAAGAACAACTATTTAGAATGTAGTTAGGGATTATGCTGAATTAGTAAAATTATGGTGATAGGTTCTCCTTCAAGATCCATGAATTTACTAGCCCCAGGTAGATAGCTACTTTCCAATACTAGGGATGATTTCCCTCTTATTGAGCAAGGTTTAACTCCAAAAAGGGAACTGTTAGTTATTGCCAAGGTACATGTGCCACTGTTGTACCCTTAGAGTTATCATACCATGCTTGCTTATTGTGGCTCATAGACCTCATAGACAGATGGGACTGTTTATTGCCTCACTGCTGGAACCTTGTATGGTGCCTTATATACCCAAAAGATGCTCCAACGTATAACAAGGACACATGCTCCACTATGTTCATAGCAGCCTTATGTATAATACCCAGAAGCTGGAAACAACCCAGATGTCCCTCAACAGAAGAATGAATACAGAAATTATGGTACATTTACACAATGGAGTACTACTCAGCTATTGAAAAATGACTTAATGAAATTTCCAGGCAAATGGATAGAACTAGAAACTATCATCCTGAGTGAGGTAACCTAGACACAGAAGAACTTACATGGTATGTACTCACTGACAAGTGGATATTAGCCCAAAAAGCACAGAATACATACGATACAACTCACAGACCATGTGAAGCTTAAGAAGAAGGAAGACCAGAATGTGGATGCTTTAATCCTAGAAAGGGAACAAAACAATCAATCGGGTGGTAGAGGGAGGGAGGGACCTGGGGGGAGGGAGAGAAGAGGGAGAGTGAAAAAAGAGGGGATGGAATCAAGTATGTGAAGAGACAGGAGAGAAGTACAGAGGTCAGAAAATTGAACAGAAATATGTAGCAGTGGGAGATGGTGAATTGGGGGTAGCCACTAAAAAGTTCCAGATGCCAGGGAAGCTGTTGGGAGTGACCTTGCTTATACATTAATGGCCTAAGTCACCAAAGGTCTAAGTCAGCCATAGGCCTAAGTCAGCTGTACATGCCTACTGACACAAAGTCTTGATCTCCGTGGGAGAGCACTAA